CACTGATGAGCCAGGCCTTCCCAATAATTTTTCCATTGCAGTAAGGACAGTAGAAATTGTTTATTTTTAAAAGAATCATACGCGTCTAAAAAAAAGCGTTTGTCTTCGTCAGGAGAAAAAAAAAAAAAAAAAAGCAAGGCGTTAAAATTTGTTCTTAAATTTTAGTTACAACTAGCGGATGTACCCGGCTTCGCCCGGGGTTTTACCCGAGTAAAGGTTTGTCTAACGAATATTTGTTAAAACAATTCTCTATAAACTTATATAAAAAAAAAGAAATATTTTGATAATTTGAAACTCGTAAATTTGAATCTCTCTTGAATCCCTGTGTGCCGTGTCATCCTGGATTTTGTCTTTCCTAATTTTCTACATTACAAAATCATCGTTTTATCTAGTTAAATTTTTCCCGTCCCTTGAAAATACTCGATAAGTTGAATAAAATCAATTTTAATTGGTTCCCTCGGTAATTGGAAGTTAAAGGAATAATATCTTCGCCTTGGAATTGTATCATTATTCTTGTCTCAAATAAATTGCCGTGTTATCCTGAGATGATCTTACTTTTGATAAATAATCTTTAAGATAATAAACTTAGTGATAATAAAATTTATAGATAAAAAAACTTGTTATCATCGTCGCAATGGTGGCGCTGCTTGCGAGTTAAATCTACAAATCTGCAAATAACTCTAAGGATATTCAAGATATTCAAGAAATTATTTTTCAAAAACCTTCCCGGGGATATACCTAATAATATCCCAAAATTTCACGGCGATTGGAGGTATGGTTTTTGAATCTATAGAGTACAGACAAACAGACATTCAATTATCAACATATTTAGTCACGACCGTCTTTCCTCATCGGCCTCAGTCACGGATGCGCGCGCATCATCATTATGATCATTATCTAATGATAATAATAATAATTATTATTATTATATTATTATTATCAACATATATAGTCACGACCGTCTTTCCACCGTCAATCAATTCCTCAATTCCTCATGTCACGGATGCGTGCGCATCATCATTATGATCATTATCATTATCTAATGATAATAATTATTATAATATTATTATATATTATTATCAACATATAGTCACGACCGTCTTCCACCGTCAATCAATTCCTCATGTCACGGATGCGCGCGCATCATCATTATGATCATTATCATTATCTAATGATAATAATAATAATAATTATTATTATATTATTATTATTATTTTATTATTTTATTATCATCAACATATATAGTCACGACCGTCTTTCCTCAACAATTCCTCATGTCACGGATGCGCGCGCATCATCATTATGATCATTATCTTCTATAGAAGCTTCTATCTTTATAATTATGTATATTTACAAAAAGTCAATTCGCTCGCGCCTCTAGAGGTGAAAATGAGGGGTAATACCAGCTGACCTAATGTACATGTAAAGTTTGGAGCGGGACGTTTCACAAGAGTGACATCCACGGCTCCAATTTATAATTGTAACAAATAGTATTGGAATAAAAACATTCAATCGGGTAAAACACGGGCGTTGCCCGGGTCATTCGTCTAGTTAATATATATAGTCACGACCGTCTTTCCTCAATTCCTCATCGCTGTCACGGATGCGCGCGCATCATCATTATGATCATTATCATTATCTAATGATGATAATAATAATAATTATTAATATTATTATCTATATATATAAAATTCAATGTCTGTCTGTCTGTACTCTATAGATTCAAAAACCATACATCCAATCACCGTGAAATTTTGGGATATTATTAGATATATCGCCGGGAAGGTTTTTGAAAAATAATTTCATGAATATCTTGAATATACTTAGAGTTATTTGCAGATTTGTAGATTTAACTCGCAAGCAGCGCCCCCATTGTGACGATGATAACAAGTTTTCTTATCACTAAGTTTGTTATCTTGAATATTATTTATCAAAAGCTGATAACAGGGTTGCCTAAAGTTACCGCTATAGACAGGGTGGTCTGTATAGACAGGTGTATGTAACACACTGATGATAACAGGGTGGTCTGTATAGACAGGTGGATGTATCACCCAGCTGATAACAGGGTTGTCTAGAGTGGCCGCTATAGACAGGTGTATGTATCACACAGCCGATAACAGGGTTGTCTAGGGTGGCCGCTAAGACAGGGTGGTCTGTATAGACAGGGTATGTATCACACTGCTGATAACAGGGTTGCCTGAAGTGACCGCTATAGACAGGGTGGTCTGTATAGACAGGTGTATGTAACACACTGATGATAACAGGGTTGCCTAGAGTGACCGCTATAGACAGGGTGGTCTGTATAGACAGGTGGATGTAACACACTGCTGATAACAGGTTGTCTAGAGTGGCCGCTATAGACAGGTGTATGTATCACACAGCCGATAACAGGGTTGTCTAGGGTGGCCGCTATAGACAGGGTGGTCTGTATAGACAGGTGTATGTATCACACTGCTGATAACAGGGTTGTCTAGAGTGGTCGCTATAGACAGGGTGGTCTTATAGACAGGTGTATGTATCACACTGCTGATAACAGGGTTGCCTAAAGTGACCGCTATAGACAGGGTGGTCTGTATAGACAGGTGTATGTAACACACTGATGATAACAGGGTTGCCTAGAGTGGTCGCTATAGACAGGTGGTCTGTATAGACAGGTGGATGTAACACACTGCTGATAACAGGTTGTCTAGAGTGGCCGCTATAGACAGGTGTATGTATCACACAGCCGATAACAGGGTTGTCTAGGGTGGCCGCTATAGACAGGGTGGTCTGTATAGACAGGTGTATGTATCACACTGCTGATAACAGGGTTGCCTGAAGTGCCCGCTATAGACAGGTGGTCTGTATAGACAGGTAATTGTAACACACTGATGATAACAGGGTTGCCTAGAGTGACCGCTATAGACAGGGTGGTCTGTATAGACAGGTGGATGTATCACACAGCTGATAAAGGGTTTCTAGAGTGGCCGCTATAGACAGGGTGGTCTGTAAAGACAGGTGGATGTATCGCACAGCTGATAACAGGGTTGTCTATAATGGCCGCTATATACAGGGTGGTCTGTATAGGCATGTGTAAGTATCACACAGCTGATAACAGGGTTATCTAGAATGGCCGCTATATACAGGGTAGTCTGTATAGACAGGTGGATGTATCACACAGCTGATAACAGGGGTGTCTAGAGTGGCCGCTATAGACAGGGTGACCTGTATAGACAGGTGGATGTAACACACTGCTGATAACAGGGTTGTCTAGAATGGCCGCTATAGACAGGTGAATGTACACACTGCTGATAACAGGGTTGTCTAGAGGGGGGCAGGGAGGACACGTGTTCCCTGGCAGCCAATGGGCGCGCATTCTATCCGTGAGCTTCAGACTTACAGACAGACAGAATAAGGCAATTATATAAGTAGATACTAGACGAATGACCCGGCAACGCCCGTGTTTTACCCGATTGAATGTTTTTATTCCAATACTATTTGTTACAATTATAAATTGGAGCCGTGGATGTCACTCTTGTGAAACGTCCCGCTCCAAACTTTACATGTACATTAGGTCAGCTGGTATTACCCCTCATTTTCACCGCTAGAGGCGCGAGCGAATTGACTTTTTGTAAATATACATAATTATAAAGATAGAAGCTTCTATAGAAGATAATGATCATAATGATGATGCGCGCGCATCCGTGACAGCGATGAGGAATTGAGGAAAGACGGTCGTGACTATATAAATACCTACTTTTTATTCTTAAATTTATAAAGGAAAGTTTAAAAAAAGGCCTCAAACTAGCTGTTGTTCTAGATCCTTTTAGAACATGCTAATGTTCTAATATTTAATACTAGCGGATGTACCTGGCTTCGCCCGTGTTTTACCCGAGTAAAGGTTTGTCTAACGAACATTTGTTAAAACAATTCTCTATAAACTTATAAAAAAAAAAGATATATTTTGATAATTTGAAACTCGTCAATTTGAATCTCTCGATAAAGTGAACATTTTTTCCCGTCCCTTGAAAAATACTCGATAAGTTGAATAAAATCAATATTAATTGGTTCCCTCGGTAATTGGAAGTTAAAGGAATACTATCTTGCCTTGGAATTGTATAATTATTTTTGTCTCAAATAAATTGTCGTGTCATCCTGAATTTTGTCTTTCCTAATTTTCTGCATTACAAATCATCATTTTATCTATTCTCCCAATATATATGTTGTAGATAAATGATAAAATAACTTTGACTTGTGGGCAATTAATAGGTAGAAAATCTAACTTTTGATAAAAAATCTTTAAGAAAATAAACTTAGTGATAATAAAACTTATAGATAAAAAAACTTGTTATCATCATCGCAATGGGGGCGCTGCTTGCGAGTTAAATATACAAATCTGCAAATAACTCTAAGGATATTCAAGATATTCAATAAATTATTTTCAAAACCCTTCCCAGTACTATACTAAATAATTTCCCGAAATTTCATGGCGTTCCAATGAGTGGTTTGGTCAGGCATAAAGGACAGACACACACACACACATACATTCATTTTTATATATAGATTTTATTTATTTAGATAAATACACCATCAAATTTGTATTAAAGAGCAAAATTGATATACATGCTAAAAGGTACAACTTCCTTAAGTTTTGTCCATGAGTGTATACACACTTGGTTATCTCGTGTGTCTTCAATAAGGGTCACTGTAATATCTTTCAGAGTTATTGTCTCAATCCCGATATACATGCTAAAAGGTACAACTTCCTTAAGTTTTGTCCATGAGTGTATATACACTTTGTTATCTCGTGTCTTCAATAAAGGTAACTGTAATATCTTTCAGAGGTATTGTCTCAATCCCGATATACATGATAAAAGGTACAACTTCCTTAAGTTTTGTCCATGAGTGTATACACACTTGGTTATCTCGTGTGTAGTCAATAAAGGTCACTGTAATATCTTTCAGAGTTATTGTCTCAATCCCGATATACATGCTGAAAGGTACAACTTCCTTACATAGCAGTCGTGGCCGAGTGGTTAAGGCGTTGGACTCGAAATCCAATGGGATCTTCCCGCACAGGTTTAATGTGTAAAATTAGCGTAAATGGAATAGTGTACGCTGGAGAAATATTGTATGCAATAAACAACCTAGTTTATGATATTTACAACAATGAATAATATATGAAGGTGTTATTCACATATTAAAACAAAATGTCTAATACGGGATACAATCCCGGTTCATGACTGTCGGGAATCGAGGGTGTTACCCATTCGTCCACCGAATGTTTGAATTTTTCATTATTTAAAAACATTTTGTGACTTTTTTCAATGTTGACAGTTAGTTAGGTTACAGTGGATATTTCGGACAGGCCGCTATATACTAGGTTCGTTGTCATCTCACGGGCTCTTGTGGCCGCCGTTTTGGTTCCTCCCTGCCTCCGCGGCTTCATGCAGGACGCCGAGCTTTCCTCTGTTAATCCTCAACTTCCCCCTGGTCCTGGTGCCACGTGAGACTTGTAGCGTAGAAATCAAGTATTGGAATATCTTAGGATGTGAAAGTATTTATTGATGACGTCACCACGACCAGTCGACAATTATCAACCAACTATCTACAGCTAGAGAATATTGAACAGACAAGCTAGGTACCATGTATGATGTGGTTTTACAAATTCATAGTAATATTCTGTGCCATATGTTTTCATTGAATAATTAAATTAAATAATAAAATATACATTATTTTTCTTTTCGCCACAATTATTCTGGGTATGAATATTTTTATTTTTCTATGAAAGATAGACGCTTCGACCAGTTAGAGTTTTTTTATTTTCTCAACGTTTCGACAAAAATCTTTTGTGATGCATTAGCGCGCCATCTGTTATCAAAATACGAAACTATTATAGACTGTATGATTCTTTTTAAAATAAAACAATTTCTACTGTCCTTACTGCAATGGAAAAATTAATTCTTCTAAAATACCCATTCCAAGAGTCTAGCAACAGTATCACTATAAAAGGAAGTTCCAAAAATGCAATATAACAGCGGTATGGTAGATTAAACTGGCGAAACCGCTGGGAGGGTTCACCACTGATGAGCCAGGCCTTCCCAATAATTTTTCCATTGCAGTAAGGACAGTAGAAATTGTTTATTTTTAAAAGAATCATACGCGTCTAAAAAAGCGTTTGTCTTCGTCAGGAGAAAAAAAAAAAAAAAAAAGCAAGGCGTTAAAATTTGTTCTTAAATTTTAGTTACAACTAGCGGATGTACCCGGCTTCGCCCGGGGTTTTACCCGAGTAAAGGTTTGTCTAACGAATATTTGTTAAAACAATTCTCTATAAACTTATATAAAAAAAAAGAAATATTTTGATAATTTGAAACTCGTAAATTTGAATCTCTCTTGAATCCCTGTGTGCCGTGTCATCCTGGATTTTGTCTTTCCTAATTTTCTACATTACAAAATCATCGTTTTATCTAGTTAAATTTTTCCCGGTCCCTTGAAAAATACTCGATAAGTTGAATAAAATCAATTTTAATTGGTTCCCTCGGTAATTGGAAGTTAAAGGAATAATATCTTCGCCTTGGAATTGTATCATTATTCTTGTCTCAAATAAATTGCCGTGTTATCCTGAGATGATCTTACTTTTGATAAATAATCTTTAAGATAATAAACTTAGTGATAATAAAATTTATAGATAAAAAAACTTGTTATCATCGTCGCAATGGTGGCGCTGCTTGCGAGTTAAATCTACAAATCTGCAAATAACTCTAAGGATATTCAAGATATTCAAGAAATTATTTTTCAAAAACCTTCCCGGGGATATACCTAATAATATCCCAAAATTTCACGGCGATTGGAGGTATGGTTTTTGAATCTATAGAGTACAGACAAACAGACATTCAATTATCAACATATTTAGTCACGACCGTCTTTCCTCATCGGCCTCAGTCACGGATGCGCGCGCATCATCATTATGATCATTATCTAATGATAATAATAATAATTATTATTATTATATTATTATTATCAACATATATAGTCACGACCGTCTTTCCACCGTCAATCAATTCCTCAATTCCTCATGTCACGGATGCGTGCGCATCATCATTATGATCATTATCATTATCTAATGATAATAATTATTATAATATTATTATTATATTATTATTATCAACATATATAGTCACGACCGTCTTTCCACCGTCAATCAATTCCTCATGTCACGGATGCGCGCGCATCATCATTATGATCATTATCATTATCTAATGATAATAATAATAATAATTATTATTTATTATTATTATTATTTTATTATTTTATTATCATCAACATATATAGTCACGACCGTCTTTCCTCAACAATTCCTCATGTCACGGATGCGCGCGCATCATCATTATGATCATTATCTTCTATAGAAGCTTCTATCTTTATAATTATGTATATTTACAAAAAGTCAATTCGCTCGCGCCTCTAGAGGTGAAAATGAGGGGTAATACCAGCTGACCTAATGTACATGTAAAGTTTGGAGCGGGACGTTTCACAAGAGTGACATCCACGGCTCCAATTTATAATTGTAACAAATAGTATTGGAATAAAAACATTCATCGGGTAAAACACGGGCGTTGCCCGGGTCATTCGTCTAGTTAATATATATATAGTCACGACGTCTTTCCTCAATTCCTCATCGCTGTCACGGATGCGCGCGCATCATCATTATGATCATTATCATTATCTAATGATGATAATAATAATAATTATTAATAATATTATTATCTATATATATAAAATTCAATGTCTGTCTGTCTGTACTCTATAGATTCAAAAACCATACATCCAATCACCGTGAAATTTTTGGGATATTATTAGATATATCGCCGGGAAGGTTTTTGAAAAATAATTTCATGAATATCTTGAATATACTTAGAGTTATTTGCAGATTTGTAGATTTAACTCGCAAGCAGCGCCCCCATTGTGACGATGATAACAAGTTTTCTTATCACTAAGTTTGTTATCTTGAATATTATTTATCAAAAGCTGATAACAGGGTTGCCTAAAGTTACCGCTATAGACAGGGTGGTCTGTATAGACAGGTGTATGTAACACACTGATGATAACAGGGTGGTCTGTATAGACAGGTGGATGTATCACCCAGCTGATAACAGGGTTGTCTAGAGTGGCCGCTATAGACAGGTGTATGTATCACACAGCCGATAACAGGGTTGTCTAGGGTGGCCGCTATAGACAGGGTGGTCTGTATAGACAGGTGTATGTATCACACTGCTGATAACAGGGTTGCCTGAAGTGACCGCTATAGACAGGGTGGTCTGTATAGACAGGTGTATGTAACACACTGATGATAACAGGGTTGCCTAGAGTGACCGCTATAGACAGGGTGGTCTGTATAGACAGGTGGATGTAACACACTGCTGATAACAGGGTTGTCTAGAGTGGCCGCTATAGACAGGTGTATGTATCACACAGCCGATAACAGGGTTGTCTAGGGTGGCCGCTATAGACAGGGTGGTCTGTATAGACAGGTGTATGTATCACACTGCTGATAACAGGGTTGTCTAGAGTGGTCGCTATAGACAGGGTGGTCTTATAGACAGGTGTATGTATCACACTGCTGATAACAGGGTTGCCTAAAGTGACCGCTATAGACAGGGTGGTCTGTATAGACAGGTGTATGTAACACACTGATGATAACAGGGTTGCCTAGAGTGGTCGCTATAGACAGGGTGGTCTGTATAGACAGGTGGATGTAACACACTGCTGATAACAGGGTTGTCTAGAGTGGCCGCTATAGACAGGTGTATGTATCACACAGCCGATAACAGGGTTGTCTAGGGTGGCCGCTATAGACAGGGTGGTCTGTATAGACAGGTGTATGTATCACACTGCTGATAACAGGGTTGCCTGAAGTGCCCGCTATAGACAGGGTGGTCTGTATAGACAGGTAATTGTAACACACTGATGATAACAGGGTTGCCTAGAGTGACCGCTATAGACAGGGTGGTCTGTATAGACAGGTGGATGTATCACACAGCTGATAAAGGGTTGTCTAGAGTGGCCGCTATAGACAGGGTGGTCTGTAAAGACAGGTGGATGTATCGCACAGCTGATAACAGGGTTGTCTAGAATGGCCGCTATATACAGGGTGGTCTGTATAGGCAGGTATGTATCACACAGCTGATAACAGGGTTATCTAGAATGGCCGCTATATACAGGGTAGTCTGTATAGACAGGTGGATGTATCACACAGCTGATAACAGGGGTGTCTAGAGTGGCCGCTATAGACAGGGTGACCTGTATAGACAGGTGGATGTAACACACTGCTGATAACAGGGTTGTCTAGAATGGCCGCTATAGACAGGTGAATGTAACACACTGCTGATAACAGGGTTGTCTAGAGGGGGGCAGGGAGGACACGTGTTCCCTGGCAGCCAATGGGCGCGCATTCTATCCGTGAGCTTCAGACTTACAGACAGACAGAATAAGGCAATTATATAAGTAGATACTAGACGAATGACCCGGGCAACGCCCGTGTTTTACCCGATTGAATGTTTTTATTCCAATACTATTTGTTACAATTATATAAATTGGAGCCGTGGATGTCACTCTTGTGAAACGTCCCGCTCCAAACTTTACATGTACATTAGGTCAGCTGGTATTACCCCTCATTTTCACCGCTAGAGGCGCGAGCGAATTGACTTTTTGTAAATATACATAATTATAAAGATAGAAGCTTCTATAGAAGATAATGATCATAATGATGATGCGCGCGCATCCGTGACATGAGGAATTGAGGAAAGACGGTCGTGACTATATTAATATAATAATAATAATATAATAATTATTATTATCATTAGATAATGATAATGATCATAATGATGATGCGCGCGCATCCGTGACATGAGGAATTGAGGAAAGACGGTCGTGACTATATATGTTGTGTAGATTACAATTATTTTAATACCAAAGCGCTATATCCCGCAAGGGATACTTGCGCCAAACAAGGAGAAAAGTTTATTTACGTAAGTTATTTACATTATTCAACGCATTAAAACATTAGAGATCCAGATTTTGTAGAAAGTTTAGAATGTATTTACAAA